GATGGAAGTGGCTGCATGACAGGATAGGAGTGATCCTGGAGTTTAGAAATTCAAGCTTCAGAGACACAGGACTGCTGCTATCCAATTTTGTGGTATACCTGAGAGACATTTGAGAAGCAGCCTGTCAGAGTTTCTGCAGGCTGCTCCATATTCATTTATGTAACTGAAGTCTTTCTTCAGGACTTGTGTTGGTCGCCTGCATTTTTGTTTCCCCTCTTGCTGTATAATCTGGCGCTGGGTCAGCTTTGGTTCCCACACTGCTCTGAGGTGCTGAGGACAGGCGACAGGGCCAGATGGGCTCTGAGGGGCATCACCAGACCCCTGTAATGCCACGTTAAGACTGGTGCAGCTGGCTCCTGCACTCATAGCATTACACAGTTTGCCAGCTCAGAAGGTAATTTGCACCAAGACAGACTGATGGGGATTGCTGTCACCTCCTGTTGTGTGTCGGGAATGAGTGACTTCCTAAGATCTCTCAGGAAATTTTGCCAAACTTAATTTCTCTTTAGGGGCCTAGGACACTGCTGATATGCTTGACATCTCCTCCTTTTTTCCCCAGCAGACTGAAATTTTTATGGGGTTTGGTGCCTTATATAGAAGGGTCTAAAGTGTTAATGAGTGTTGGAGTTTTCCATGTGGTTTGAGGAAGTCTGAGGTTCCTGTAGCTCCTCCTACCCTTAACACCTACTTCATGGCTTCCTGCAAGAGTGGAAGGCTTGGGCTCAGCAAGCTATGTTGCTTCTTCCAATCATACATGCTATGCTCTCTATAAATAGCAAAACATGGTACAAAATACGCAGAAGATTTTAAAGAGAAACTGGGTCACTGGACTTTAAACTGAAACACATCCTCTTGGTGTTCTGCCCCATATGTGCCAGAAGTGGAGGAAACTAATTTGAGAGTTATGAACTTCTCTATCCCTTTGGGGCAAGCTGGGCCTAAAGGAAGATGGATCCATATTCCATAACTAATATCCCCAGACTTCTGACAGATCCTTGCACGGTTTGTATAAGCAGAAGAAAGGAGTCCTTATTTTCCCCACTGTTCCTTGCGCAGTTGCATAAAGGCAAATAAGTCATACAATAGCTAAATAGGGATTACACAACTGAGCTCCATAAATCTAAATCAGAAACAGAGTCTCCATCCTGCACTGGACAAACATAAAAACGTGGAATGGTGAAATTCTAGTCCTAATGAAGTTAATGGCAAAGTTCTTGCTTACTCCAGTGAGATCACAGTTTCATCCAAAATCTTGGCTCAAGCCTGTAGTTGGCTGACCAAGCTGGATATTTAAAGCATATCCCTGTTAAGTTTTTTCCAAGTATTGGGATAAGACAACTTCTCTTCTTTTTTTTAAGCTTTTTGCTTATGATAAAGAAATGCAGAAAAGTATGTTAAGACCAAGTAGTGAGCAATCACTTGCAAACCTGAACTGGAAGCCTAAAAAGGGCCTGATATATTATCTCTGACTGCAAGAACAAATATTAGCAAAGTAGTTGTTCCTGTGCTTCAGTGTCAATACTTTAAGCCACTGAAAGCTGCTGCTGAGTCACACTACTTGGGTATTGGAGGGAAAGATGGGAAACCCTAACCTGTGGAGGTTGGAAGTCTAAACAACAAAAAACAGACATCAACAAAACAAATAAAAGTCCCTAATGAACCTGAGACCTAATCTCTGCAAGTTAAGTAACTTTGTGAAATGATCCACTGTGCTACAAGGACTGCAGTGCAGCAGAGTGTCACTGGAGCTGTTTGGCACACAGGCCAAACTAATTACCTGACAGTTGTTTTAGTTTGGCCTGGGGTGGACAGCAGTGCTGGGTAAGAAAAGCCACTGCCATTTCTACATGTCCCCGGGCTCATCTGGTCTGACTACTGAAAACTATTGCTGTTACACTGAATGCCAGCATGTACACCAGGGCTCCCTCCACCCACAAGATTCCTGCCTGATGAAAAAGAAAGGAAAAAAGAACGGAGGAGAAAAAGGAAAGCTTGTGCAATCAGGGCCACACATCACATGTATTCCCAGTCCAAGGGTTATTTCTCTCCCCCTCTTCCCTGAAGCATCTCTTAACAACTGAGCTGATATAACGCAGAATGTCATTAACAGTCTAACAGTGAAAAAGGACTGGGGATCATCCTTATCTTACAGAAACAAGCTATAAATAATCATCTTGGGCAAATCTAACATACTGACAGGGTGGTAGGATCCCAAAAAACTGATTCCAGTGTATTAATAAACACAAATGCTGCACCATTTCTTGCAGAGCTTTTTGGAGCTGTGTAAATCCTTCCAACAAACATCAGATAAAGCTGTCAAGGTTGAGGAAGAATTGCTTCTATGTATGTGATTAAGCATGAGCCGTTAAAAAGACTTAGCCTGCCATAAACAATTAGGTATGGTAGGGCAGTGCCAGGTCAGTGCCATCCCAGTGTCACTGCTGACAGTTTCATTACTTAGGCTTGCCACAGATATAATTCTCCAGGCAACTGTCTGGAAAGTCATCAGAGCCTTCACTGTTTCATGACCAGCTTCTGACCAGCCCACATATGGCCCAAGCAGGGCAGGCCAAAACCTCACAGGCTCAACTGTAACTTGCAACGTTTATCACTGTGAAATGCAGTGGCATGGCAAGCTGTGGCTTAGTCCCTCCTCTGCACCAGCTAGAAGCCAGCTGGAACATGAGGGGCCAGAGAAATGGTCCTTCTTGGTTTTCTCACTGTGCAGAACAAGTGACTACCCAACTGTAAGTTTCACATGCATCCATCATACTGCAATCTTACACCACCAATTTGGATGGAGCCATGCTACTTTACATCTTCATTCATCCCCTCTGGCACTTGTCTACCTCTTTCTCTCTTCTTGTGTCTTTTACTAACATCTCTCTACACTTACCTTTCCTGCCTCATTCGTCCCACCTCTCACATCTATGACTGCACCTTCTTCACACTACTCCTTCTTTCTTCTCCTTTATGACACCCTGGACCTCACAGATCCTCCCTTGGCCTCAAAGAAAGTGATGAAGAGGGAGAGAAGAAGGAAAGAAGAGTGACTCTGTATAAGAGGCAGTGAAAAATGCAGTGTAGCCCTGGAATGAGGTCCTTTGAGAAGTACTCAAGGACTACTCAGGTTACCCAGATTTCCTTTGGTGAACCCCTGCTTTCTCCAGGTCTTGTTCTAAATTTGTGCTTCATTGAGTAATGCTTTGATTGAGTGCTTATGTGTAAGACTCAAGGATTAGACACAGAGGTACATGAGCAAGTGAGACGATGCCACAGTCAGTACACTGTCACATGCCTATGCCAGGCCTCAGTCGTCCCCAGGAAGCCCATATGGTTACTTAGCTTCCATCCCTTTTTGCAGATAGTTTTTCTGCAGCAGGGAGATATCTTTTTTCCCAAAAATAAGCAGAACATTGATTGTTCAAAAATGCTGCCTCTGATTATCAAGGCCTTTGCAAACACTTACTGTTAAGCAGGGACATTCATACTTAAGCGTAATGACAAACATGGTAAACAAATCCAATCTCACTGAAGTACAGAACAGAGATAGACCTCCAGGCCCAGTAAGTATTGCTCGTACTTCACATGCAAAATCAAGAAACCCTGGCCTTTGGTGCTCACTGGTGTCCTTGCAAACACAAACAGAGGCAGCGATTACCATTCTGCATATTTTTCCAAGTTCTGAAGTGCAGTCATGATTGTTTTACATTGACCAAATAGCTTGCATTGTCAAGTTTCCAAAACAACAAAATAGAAGAGGAATCTGGCTTGTGTTTACTGAATACTAGGTTTGCCTTTTGAAAGAAAAGACAAAGAACAGAGGACACTTACTTCTCAGTGGTTAAGCTGAAACAACACTCAACAGTAATTCTTGTGTGTAGCTTCCTCTGCCCTGTCCAGCCTCAGCTGGGACGTAGAGACAATCTCTTTCTGGGCATCCCACAAACACTGACACTGAGGTGATGCTCTCCTTTATGGACACAGCAGCCCAAATTGAGTGGCTAAAAGGAAGAAGCCTTCATTTTGCCTGTAAGGAATTCACTGGCAACAAGTCGTGTGAGACGCAGATACAGAAAATGTGCTTAAAGATGATGAGTGGCTTATCTTGTAGGATAAACAGGGTTTACAAACCAATGGTTTGGCCACAGATTGCCTTCCCCAAGCCACAAACACCTAATAGCTTCAGTTCCAAACACAAAATCACAAATGTAGTAGCAAACCGCAAATGCTGTCAACTACATAACCTGCCACATAGTACAAAGACAATATCAACAACAGTAATTAATGTACACAGTCCTGCTTATCCTAGCATTCCTAGAAGCCCTTTGCAAACTTCAGAGATCATTTTATGGCAACTAAGCTCAGGGAAAACAGCCTGTGCCAGAATGAACAAGCGCTTTTACCCACCACAAAACAACTCTTCAATCATAAGCAGTAGGACTAAAGACCTAGCTTAAGGCACGAAAAACTTACTGGCAGCCTTTCAGGTGCTGAGTATACAACAATTTCTCACCTAGTCTCTTCCTGAGGAAAGTAACTGGTTCAGTGCTGCTATCCAGTACTTACACTTCCTCTATTAAACCGAAATATTATACTATAGCCATAAGTTAAAATTTCCTTTATAAAAACATATTTTAATAACTTCAAAGTGTTGGGCCAAATTTGATTACCCACTCTTCCTTTTTATCTACTGCTGCTTCTTCTTCACGAAGACCAAGCAAACACACAAAACTTCTGCCCAGAGAAAAAGACCTTTCTGTGATTTATTATTAGAATATAAAGCCAACATATATAACAACAGGACATGCCAATCTTACTCTGATTAACTCTCTCCAAATGCACCAAAACTTTGTAACTCAAAACCAGGTTCTCCATATGCCAGTCTCTAAATTACCTGACAAACAGATGGTCAAGTGTAAAAGCAGAATCATTCACATCAATGTGGTAAGATGGCTGAACAAGACCTAGGATATGACCAATTACAGCAGTTCACTTACCCTATAGTAGTCCGTGCTGTACACATCTCTAGACATCCCAAAATCCCCAATCTTCACCAGTAGGTTCTCACCAACCAGACAATTCCGGGTGGCAAGATCCCGATGCACGAAGTGCTGTGATGCCAGGTAAACCATACCAGCTGCAATCTGCTGGGCAATGTGAAGCATCTGGGATTGGGTCAGCTCAGCAGGACGGTTGCCTTCTGACATCAGTACTGCATCTGGTCCATGTGCCCTGCACCAAAACACAAGCTAATTAAGTGATAGGCCGCTTCTAAGCTGGAGAGTTGAAAGGCATTAGTGAGCCTAAAACCACACAACCGACTCTCTCAAATATAATAACAAAACCGGCTACAAATTCATTGGTGAAATAGGGGAAAATTTGTATCTTGGCTTTTTTCATTTACTGTTTTCCTTCGTTGTGTGAAAGACAGGTGGCGTGAAAGGCATTACACAACAGGTGATATATTACTCACGGAAATAAGGCACATGCGTTCATAATACCCCTCTATCTGAAACCACCACCTTTCTCCTGTTCCATTCTAGTAATCTTTTCTGGAGAAAGGCTGGCAAATGTAGCTGTTTGGTAACTGAGGAAAACCCTAACACTCTCTAAGAGTGAAACGCAATAGAGTGAAAGGCAATGAACTGGCATGGATAGCATCACTTTTCCTATGACCAGCATTCCTTGATTTCTACAGGGAGACAGGCCATTGACCCTTCCATCATTTCTTAAAGAACAAAGAACTAACTTCCTCCTGAGACACCATCTGAGAAACACAGGCAGCCATTTTATATTTACACTTCTAATTTCCCATCCGAATGCACAGGAAACCATTTCTGGTTATTTCATCACCAAGGGTGAGTCCTCCCTGAGATGGGAATTCTTGACAATAGGAAGAGGACACAAAACACACACTATTTGGAACAATTAAACAGTTTCAGAAATACAAGCTTTTCAAGACCTAGGAAGTCCCTAAGATGCAATAATCAACTGATTAATGAGAAACTTGTACAGACTCCAGCAGAAGGAGAGCCATTTTGCATTTGGAAAGTCCAGCGAAGTACTGGAACACATGTGCTTCACCCATCTTAACAATGCTAGCTCTGATAGACACATGTAACATCCTAGTATCTTGAAGGTACAGATATAAATATTCCTACACACAACATTTTATAGTAAGCACTACTAGCTAATCCTTATCCAATTAATGAGGTCATCTGGGAATCATTCCTCATCTGATACACTTAATAATATTCAGAATATCCCCTTCCATCCATTCCATTGTTCTGTGCTTTCTGAAGCCTCTTTTATTCCATTACTGCAGACTATTCTTTCTGAGAGACCACCTCTCCTCTTCCCTCCTCAACTTTTTTTTTTTTGAAAAATACTCCAGAAATTATTTTTATTTTCTCTTAAAAGTTCTTCCTTCCTATAAAGATGAGTTTCAGAGAATCACCTTTCTAATCAATAGAGGTGAGGCCTTAATGCATCCCTAGAGGAAGGGCACAGGAGTTTGGAAAAGAGTTGCAAATTAATCAAAATCTGTGAGATCAAATCTGACACTACCTATTAGAAATATGATATTAAAATTGCCCCAAGGGAAGAGCTTCATGAGCAAAGTGACAGATGAGAGAAAAACGAAGTAGGTGCGTAGCACTGCTGGAACTGCATCTGGTACCAGGCGAAGAAGCTCTCTGCCACAGGGTACATACAGGCAGCCATTCAGCTGGTCTGGGTTGGGGTGGCGGAAAATGGGAGGATATGAAATGTCCTCTGAAGACTCACAAGCAAATTCCTGTTGAAAAGCACTCTACCTTTTCATTCCATGGATTTTTTTAATGACTGCTGTCAGACATGAATCTCTGAGTCACTAAATTAGAGAACTCTTCATCTTTCGCTAGCCTCCTTGAGGACATGGTCTGTATCTAATGAAACTTTTGGATTTTCCTTAACGCTCCATCCACCTTGCTTGTCCTCTCGGTGCTGGCTGTAAATGAGGCACTCCTCAACAGCCAGGAACATTGACACAGATTTCTTTGGATTCACATCAGTCTCCACTAGCTGGAACAAGCACAGGGCAGGCATGACTTTGAGGCTTTAGTTAGAGATCTGAAACAGCCTTTCGCTGCATGCAGACAGCAAAGCTCTTTTGGGTTAAATTTGGGATTCGTTTTCCCCCGCCAGCCTTTGGTGGCGCTGCAGGGTAAGGAATGGGGGCTGCCACAGCCGCCCCGACGGACCCCGGCTCTGCAGCACCAGCTGCAGCAAACGGGAGGGGAAGGACAGATTGGAGCTTAGGTTTAACAGCTTGTTCCAGCATAATCATTTTACGTTCTAAAGACAAGGGCTGATTAATAATTTAAAAAAAAGGGAAGACCTAAAGTAGGAAATACACCATCTGCTGAACTACCTTTCTGTACTATAAGTCAAAATCAGAGTTACGAGGTAAGAAAATGCCAATCAAAAAGAATTAAAGCGTAATTATTTCTTATGAAATCACAAATTATTTCTTATCAGCTGCGAAACTGGTTTATTCTAATGGAAATTCAACGTTCTGAAGGAGTACCGGGATGGCAACTCAGGAAACTACAGTTCTCTCCCGATCCATGGCAGAGGTCCCAGCAGCCAAATGTAAATGCCCCGACAGGGCTCCGACAATATGCTTAAATCCTCTGCCAGAGAGACAGTCAGTCTGGGGAAAGTAGTAGTGTTTGCTCTGCATCCCCAGTTCAGGTCCCAGTCTCCCTGCCAAAACGGGCAGCCCTGCTAATAAGGGAGGATGCTAGTTGATGTCATTTGCTTTTACGGTATGGCTAGCTGTTTAGCGGAGATTAGAAAGGTAGCAAACTCATCTCACAGAGGCTAGCAAAAATGCATAAATGATGACACCAGCAGTCACTAGCCATTTCAGTCAGATAGAAAATCTGAACCCATTTAAAGGGACGTCAGTTTTGATTGTTTCACAGCTTTGTCATGGATATCTTTCCAAAATGCCGATACCCCTACTTATCTTCAGCCGGAGAGATCTCAGTACATTGAAATGCCTTTGTGATATCCTTTGATGAAAATGACATAGAAGACCTTGAAAGAACAGTCCCTTATGCAAATGCCTTTTTTACATAGGCGCAAAAACTGTCTCTAAAGTGCTTATTTTTATGTCAATGGGTGCAGGCTAGTGGAAACAGCACACACATAAGGCCACTGTTTGTAACTCCCTGGTTCATGAGTTACCTATTGTTCTGAACTTTAGATATCATCTCTTTATTTATGACTGCTTCACTGCCAAATTTCAGTTTCTGACGTACATTCCTGAATAGCTTTATGAAATAAAGCCCTAATCCAGGCTCCAAGATGTAGCATTTTCCATTGCACTGAAGCTTCCATGGCTCACAGTTTTCTTGCTTCAGATTAATAGCAGTCTTTCCAACACACTGAGAGGAGGGAAGAGAAAAGGGGTTAGATCTCAAAAGCTCTTAGACACCTACAGAAAGCAATAGGTGTTGAGTGGGATCTTCCCAAGTGCTACCAGAAAGCCTGCAAGAAAATTATTCCTACTGTAAGAGTTATAACCAAACATTTCAGAATACACTGAAATGTGTTGGAAACAGTATTTCTTTGGTGCTCATTTGTTTGGTGCAAAGCATAAGACTTCACTTAGTGGTACTTCCAAATAGGCAAAGAAACAATGAGTCCCACATTCCAGTACAGAACACAAGAGCTGCATAGACTTGCACTCCTAAGTGTTGGCATATTCCAGTTGTAGTAGTTCATTTGACGTTAAGTACCAGCAACACCTACCTTCTCTGCCCACTTCTGGCTCAGCAACACAACGTGTGTTCATGGATTTACCTGAGGAATTTGTTAAGATCTCCGTGCTTCATATACTCAAAGACCATGATGAGTGGATCACCCTCGACACAGACACCATAGAACTTGACGATGTGCTCGTGTTGCAGGTTAGTTAGCAGCTCTGCCTCGCGGTGGAAGTCTTTGCGGGCATTGTCGCTGGCATCCTTCAGCGTCTGGCAGAGAAAAAGAAAATGTAAGGGAGGGGAGATGTTCGCAGAAAGTAGCAAAGATGTGGGATGGCACTGTAAGGGTATGATAAGGACACCTGACTGCAAGAAGCATGGAGGAAGTACTTTCTTAATAACTTTTTTAGAAATTTAGATGTGATGTTTAAGTGCAATTAAATCATGGCAGTACAATTTTCATTCTCCTGCCACGTGTCATCCCAAATAACGATTTTTCTTGTAAGAGGATTTAGGAATACTCATGATCTTACTGTGCCAAGTGTTTCCCAAACACAGAACAAATAAACTGATCTTACCCAAAAAACATACTAGTACACAGCTGGTTCGTAACCTTTAGCATTTAACTCGGGTGAACCCTAGTATCCTTACGGTATTTACCTTTCTTGTAAGTTCTTTAAATAAAACTCTGCTTGCTTAAAATACGCAGATGCATTCTTCATGTACTATTAATGTCGCTGTTGCTCATCTTGGCCCCTATGGTGTGCTATACATTAGGTAGATTTATACAAGGGTATGTCCCTGGACTAGAATTTAAAACCTGAGACTTCAGCCAGAAACTCCTTTGAAATTCAGTAAATCTACTCACATGCCGAAGATTAAGCATATGTATAAGTAACTGGAGGATGAATGCTAAATTGATAGTCAGAGAGGAAGTAGATGCAGACCAGAATTCTGGGGTGTCATTTCTCATCCCCTTTTATTTATACAGCTCTAAACTCTTGCGTATTTTCATTCTGAAGGAAATATATCAACACTGGATCAAACAGGAGACTTAAATGTTGCATAATGAAATAACGCTAATTTAACTGCCACACATAGGCAGTTTCACATCTCTTCTTAAGAACTACACTTCCTGGGCAAGAAAACACTTTCATGCACTAAAAAAAGCAAATTCTGACACCAATTAAATGAGGAATAATTATAATTGACAATAAACCACTACTAGGCTCTACCTTCAAAAGGTACAGTGGTTGCACTATACTAATTCAAACCATATTTTTAAAACAGTAAGAGAAAGATAGCAGGTTACCAATGTTCACAAATTATTATTCACAGAAACTGATGTCTGGGCTCCGTACCTCTGGATTTTAACTACACTTAGACTTAATACAAAGGAAGTTACAAAAACAAAAGTTGTGGAATTGTTCTAACTAAAGATGCATTTTCCTGGCCATCTAGTCACTTTATTTTCTACCCTGAATTCATATACAGAGCATCAGAACAGACACAGAACCAGTTAACATCATGCAATCATTCTGCCAACAAACTCAGTTTTTAGCTGCAGTAGTCACGGTTTGCTCAAGCTTTTTTTTTTTTTAACAGAGACAATTCTGGCCACTTTTCTAGTATTATACGCATGCATGTGTGAAGAAGGGACTAAAAGACGACTGTCAGAGAAAACACTTGCTTTACTTGTGAAACTGCAATCATAGGTCTTGAAAAATGAACAATCACCATAGTAAGGTTCAGATGGGGGGACAAGGAGCAGGGCAGACTGGATAGCCATCTACCAAGTTCAGGGGCTTTTCCCTGTAGATTTCAGGCTCTATGGATCCTAGAGGCAATAGAAACCACTCATGCCACAGATGTTCTTTCCCTCAGGGACTCACTGATGAATCTCATGTGTCTTCAGGTTCAGAATCCTTCTTCCGCAAGTTTTACCAATAATGATGCAACAAGGTTACTGCATCACCAAAGCTTCACAAGCTAGGATATATTAGTATACCCAGCTATATAATCCAAGGTGGCTATCTAATTGGCTCCCCACTATGGTCCCCACGCAATCACATCTAAACCAAGCGAGGATTGGAATTGAAATGTCTTCCAGCACTTCCGGGCTCTGGGATGATGCTTTAACACAGGCACCAACCCACGATCCAATCTACGCTACTTAATGAAATCACTGGGAAGAATTCTGTTGTCACTTGAGTTTCCTCTGGTGGTTTCATGTATAAAGCAATTGGACTGCTAATTCCTCTCAACAACAGAATTAGAAAAACAATTCATATAAAAACCATTTCTAAATAATAGCAACCTGGAAAAGAATTGACAGGGAGAAGCATAGGCTGATCCTCTTTCCAGCAGGCTCCTTCCCTGGAAAGACAGTAAAAATGCTGACAGCTCTGCCCTGTGAGGATGGCATATTGTATATTTCAGAAGACGCTTTTTATCTCACAGAAACAGCAAAATTATCATATGACAGAGCAGTTGCCATGGCAATTACACATTTTCTGTCAAACAGCAAAATGCGGAAAGGTCTAAAACCCAGGTAGAACTCAGGCAGGGTTTCTACTACTAAGGGGAAACTTGGATTTCTGTCACCCACCATTGCAGAACCCCTTTTTCATTATTTCATGCAGTGCACAGAATAGACACAATGCATGAGAGAGAGCTGACACAGTCAGGCAAGGAGGAGACTGTAAAGTGGAAAAATTAGTAAGTACGTAGAATTTACATAAAAATGACATTGACTACTGCATTTAGCTTGTTCTTAGTGCAAGAGAAAAAATAAAACCAAAATAAAACCATAAGAGCACAAAGAGTGGAAAAAGACATATTCATTATTATTATAATTACTGACAAGTGTTCCAAAGCCCTGCATACAAAACACTCTCACCAGTCGACAGGAGTTTTTCCTCAGTAGGAACTGAGATACACCCATATGTACTTTCCAACCACTCAGGCCAGCAGCTATGAAGGAGGGACACGCTCCCTCGGGCAACAGAGAGAACCCCTGGCTGTTACAGGAGCTCCACATCTGCTGAGTTCATCCATGTGACAGTCGGACTGCCATCCCATGCTTATTCTCCTCTACAGAGTCCTTGCCCAGGTATCGGCGTAACGTCTGGTCTCTGCAGACCTGTGCAAACCGCCAGCTCCTTAGTCCACCCCACCACCACAGAGCTGCATTCACAGGCAAGTCAGAGAAAGAGCAGGGGTATGCGGCTCTCACCAACATCAGTATGACTTGGTAATGAAACCCTCATGACAGCTGTACTTCATACTGTTTCAGCCTTCCCCTGGGAAATCCTTGCCACTGTCTGTCATCACCATAGAAGAGCTGAGTGGTATATTTCCTCAAGAAATGAAGGGGTGGTTTTGACCCTTCTCTGAACTGGAAGAGTTGGAAACCTTTGGTTCTCCTCTGCAGGTCCTGTGGAAATGTTCTTCACTTCACCACATAGCAGTCTGCTAGCTGAGAACAACCCTGGAGCAGCACAGAGTGCATCTCCCTCCAGCCTCCCAGGGGAGCCAGAGGCAGCTGCTAACCTGTGCTTTGACAGTCATCCTCACCTCCAGACCTCGCCAGGTTAAACTAGTGCAAGACTATGCCTGCCTATCCAATCCTATGAGGAGACAGTACCGATCCACGCCTAACAACCACTGTGGCATGGCAAAATGGCCCACAAGGAAATGGTAACTCTTCCTTGTTCCACCCTCTGTTCTCTAAAAGTGCCTGCAGCAAATGGTGTACTGAGACGATGTACAAACTCACCTGGGAGGGTAAGGCTAGTACAATGCCCATGCAACTAGGTTAAGCTCTCTGCTCACAGGGTTTGACCCACAGAAAGCATTTCCAAACACTCAGTGCTCCCCTCAAAAAGCCTGATGGTCAAAACAAATTTAAATAGATTGTCTTTCTCCTCTTCCAAGGAGCAAAAGCTCATGCACTTTGGGTTGTTTACGCTAAGCCTGATTTTGTATCTTCCCAGATTTTTCTGGGTCTCAGCTCCTCAATAATTTGCTGCAGCAACGTCAGCATTTTGGATACCAGCTGGCCGAAAAGGAGAAGGATGCCTGTTGAGTCAGAAGGAGTGATGCTCAGGACCAGGTGCAAACTGCGCAGTTGCCCAGAAGCCAGCAGGCACAGGCAGCCATCGAGGACCACCAGTCACCCTGATCCACCCCGTGCAGGTGAGACCCTGCCTCCTCGTTGCCAAAATCCCCCTGGCACCACCTTACTCCTCAACAAGCACCTATTCCCACTGGGCTCACTGAATCTATATCATGGAGACAAGTCTGCTGTGGTTTTGCTCACGGAGGTGAAGCTCTCTAAAGCCCTTGCTGTGTGCTGGGAGCAGCTGTCCTCTGCTGCTGGCATCCAAGTCTGCTCCTCTAAGGCTGAAAATAATTTTAAAAAAAAAATCACACATTTTCACTGGCAAATCTGTGCCCAGCGCTGGGGTCCAGACACAGATCTCTGGCTAGCTCTCTGCACACCGGTGAGGTCCCATCCCTTGACCTCCACTGTGACTGGAGGACACCTGTGAGCTACGGTTGGTACCACAGTGAAAGAGAGAAGCACCAGGCAACTAACCCCTCAGTTATATGGGGATCCATCCAATGGCACAGTTCACCAAAAAATTCTATCTTTGATGGCAGCTGGAGTCACATCTTCAAGACCTAATACGAGAAAACACAAAATGGGTATAACCTGTCCCCGGAGGTAATTCTTCCCACATCTGCCTGCAAGATCCTTATTAAGGACACTACAAAGAGTGGATTTGGTTAAAAAAAAAAAATAATAGTATGACAACTGCTCCAGAAAACTGATAGCTTTGTCATCTAAATCCATGGAGACATCTCTGCCTTTAAAGGCTGAATGCTCTTCCTTGTGTATTACACTGAGAAAGAGCAGCAGAAAGTGAGCGCGGTGCAGTGTTTAACAGCAGAAGTACTAGGCTCCATTTGGTCAGGACTTTCAAAGGGAGCAAGTGAATGGAAAGACTTTTATTTTGCTATCAAGCAGCTCCCTGAAGTGATAGAGAAAAGGCAATTTCCACTCTAGCTTCACCCAAATACAATAGAAAATTCATTCAGATCTAGTTTTGTCACCTCCTGTTTCTCGCTTTCTCCTGTCTACGATATATCCCTTCAGGGCTTAAATTTATGCTCACCAGTCAACGTGACTGAACAACTTCCAAGTAACCTTGGCAAACTCCCCCAAAAATGTTATTTTTGATGGACCAAGAAAGCACTCTACAAGTCCATACTCCTTTCGTGTTCTCTCACTACCAGATCCAAAACTCTATTTCTTGTTTCGAAATTCAAAAAGATGATCCACTCGATTTCTTTTATTGTATGGTTTGATCCAAAATGTACACATGGTTGCCTAACTGTGACTGGTCAGATAAAATTATTTTCTGATCTCTAGGCACAGCCCAAATTCTAAATGTGTATTCCCCCTGCATTTAATGAGATACTTCAAACACTGAACACCTTGTTCAGCTTTTGGCAGAACACTACAGATGGAGACAAGAGATTGTTGCCAGGGGGACTTTCCAAATTCTTAAGAGTACAGTTTCACCAATATTCTTTTCTAGTGTACATCCATAGCTGAGGTCAACAATCAACCTCAGCCCTTCTATTTTGGGGGGATGAAAAGGCTTGGTACGGTGAAGCAGGTTTGGTGTCCAAGCTCTGAGATCAAGCTGGAAATCTTCTTACTCCTTGGTAGATTCCTAATGTACCATGTAGTCTGTGCCCTTTAAGAGAACCAAACAAATCCCTTTTTTTTTGCCCCAGAAATGAGAGAACTATTCTGTATACTTGAAATTCCAAGGTTATGTCTGTTTTCATGTAGTTTCGTCCTCCTCTGGACTGTATTTTGGAAGAGTTGACCGGAGCTGTATAATCAAGAATCACTCCTCCAGGTCTGACATATCATGACTTCTGAATTTCCATACAGCCAGTGTTTAACAGCATATGACAGTATTATCCACAAGTTTGTTATAACATTCCTGGCAGCTATATTAATGACAATTACCCACAGATAATTTCAGTGGCTGACTAAAAGAATGGCACAATCCTGAAAAAGAAAGGCCTTCTTTGACTAGCAATTATACACATAACCTATTAACTTAGCTAGTAACAGATTATTTTTTTAGACCCACATATATGTCACATGTATTTTTAATGACCTAGACATTATTTTTCACTAATTATTTTTCAGATAGATCATAAAAGACTTTGCCCCTTTGTGACACAGTCTGTTTCCCCCCTTGTTGTCATGAAATTCAGCTCTCATTTTATAACCCACAGCAAGATCAAATATCGCATTCTCCTAACATTCCATTAGCCTTGTGAACCCTTCCACATATATCAGGGCAGTTACACTGGGCTACAGAATAGGCAAAGATGATCATTTACAAATAAAATAGCATTAGTTGCAACTATGAATTAATAATGGCAATCCTAGATTCTTTTACCTTCACTGCCACCAAGATCTTGTCCTGCTCGGGACAGAGGTTATAGCATTCTGCCAGGAAGACTTTCCCAAAGGCTCCTTCTCCCAGTTCTCTTTTGAGAACAATATTGTGGCGCTTGATGTGCTGCACAACTGTGAAGAGAAGACAAAATGGAGGTCAGAAGAGAGCTGCCAGGCCAGGATGGGGCGGTGTCCATCCTTATAGCCACATGGAGACAAGGTGGCCTGTACAGCAGGGTGCCTGTTGTGGAAGGAATCAAAGTGCCCAGGTGTCATTCCTTAGTGCTTTGTCCAAGAAGACCGAGTTAATACATTTATATTTGGAGATAAGCGCATTTGCTGGATAAGAAGACATGGAATTGAGAGTTACCTCGGAAAAGGCCATATATCATTGTGTTAGGATGACTGCTGCAGAGCACACGTAACAGCCAATGCTGCTTTTTTAAAAACATGAAAACAAAGAATCAGAAAACGAACCAAACCTTTCTCACACCACTTCTATTTTTATACCTCCAACAATAGCTGAACTGTCTCGTCCAAAGCCAAAAGGTTCTAAAATTAACCTAATCCAAGAAAACAAAATGTGCCCTCTTTCAAATCCAACTTACTCTCTGGTTCTCTTACCACTTGTTCAACTGCTTTCCCTCTCTGTACTATACTACAGTTACAATAAGACAGGAATTTCGTTCTCGCAAACATGATTTACAATATCGCTCTGAAGTAAAAGAAAGAAAAGATGGACAAAGGTTTTAGTCAGCATAATGGACAGAGCCTTAGCTGAATTGCTGCCCAATGTCAATTGATTCAGATATTAAAGTCCTTCAGCATTTTTGTTCAACTCATTTTACATTTTCCTTTCAGCAAAAGCTTCCATTAAAAGATTTAATATTTAAAAGACTGTACCAAATTTTGTAGAATGCATTATCAATTTGCAATGTTTAAGCTAAATAAGGCAGCTATAAGAGCAGTTTAACTGGCCAACTCAACAAGGTTGATAGCTTGTGTTGTTGGAATTGAACAAAATGGTCAGCATCTACTGATGAATTTAACCTTACTGCATTTAGCTGCTTTTGCGAACACTGAAATTTAGCCCTGCCCGGACAAAGCCTTTGCAACTTAAATCCTGAACACAGTGAAATAAAGAGCGGTGCACAGGCATCAGGCCAGCTTCTGCAAAGGAATGAATCTCACCTCAGCTGCTTAGCTGCATGGACCAGGACTGAACCCTGCCAATAATTTAGGTATATTTAGATGCAGACCAACCCCTGCCTCCTTGCCTGGCCACATGCTTGTTCCAAACTGGGTGACCACTTACGCAGAAACCAGTTTGCCTCCATTACTAAAAGATGGAAAATGGAGTGCTGCTGGTAACAGCAGTGGGGGGAAATGGCACAGCCTGTCCCCATTGCTGTCATGATCACTTGGAGAAAGGACCCACGGTCTACAAGAGAAAAATATGTGTGTCCCACACCCTGAGCTTATGGCGACGCGGCCCAAGTGCACTGCATATAAATGCGCTTCGTATCCATGTGTGTGCATGCAAGGGGAGCCCAGTGCTGGAGCGAGACAGGAGAGCGAGAGATGTCCCCAGGTGTCTCCATCATGAGTCTGCCAGACGGGCAGCACACCTGAGGAGCAGACCTCCATCAGACCCAGCTGGCACCTGCCAGAAATCCCCAGGCCAGCAGGCGAGCAGGCCCACCATGCCCTGGGAGGGGAGTGAGGAAAGCCGGCTTCTCCCCACGCCACACCAGACCCACCATGCTCCTGTCCCCACAGCTGTCAGCGGCAGGGGGGGCACTGCCCACCCCCTCCTCCAACGCCATGTGTCCTGGCAGAGCCCACACGTCCCATCAATAGCCGAGCACACATAAAATGAGATTGCATAGTACCAATGTTTTTCACTCGTGTCAAATTCTGGTCTAGTGTAGATTAAGTTTTATCGTCATGATACATTTATATGGGTACGCTTTGTTTGGCGAGCTACCCGAGCAGGTCCCCTGCAGTCAGTGGGAATTTGCTTTTTGTTCTCATTTCTCCTCAGCACTGGCTTTTCAAGTACAGCACAAAATGCAGTCAGCACAAGACAGGCCTGAAACAAAACACACCTCTTCCCCATGGACGCAAGTTAACCGGCATCCCTCGCCTCTGTTAATACCAGTCACAAGGCGGGCATGTGGGGAGGACCGCTGTCCCGGCGCGCCACCTGAGCATGTAGCATGGTATATCTCATGACCCGTGCTTTAAAAAACGCTTACCAATAAATGAGTGCTCCCCTCTACCCCCTGCCAAACCTGCCATTTAGCCCTGCCCCTTGGGGAATTATTCTAAACTTGACCAGTATGACCAGGACGATGCCTCTCTTCCTTTCCTAGAGAGGGAAGTTCGGCTGCACGTTACCAGTGTCACCATCTTAAAATGTCCACAAAGCTCATAGACAGGGAACAGGGCTGAGGTCCTGCCCTACTAGTGTCAGCAGCAAAACTCCAGCAGAGGCACTTTTTCACTTGATTCTCTCCACAGCTGCCAAGGACCTGGTGATGAACACAGTCGGCTTTCTGAATTTTGTGTCAGTCCCTTCCATTTTGAACCCAGTACACCCCTGATGTTGGCCCCAGCAGTACGAAGGATTTTTGTGAAGTTCCTGGAGGACTTCACAAACAATAGAGTAAAAATAAATACGAAACATATCAAATACTTCTCTGTAGTACACTTACAGCTGCTGCTAAATGCTCTTATATAAACCAAGCATTTGAATAAACAACCCATCCTATAAACCAAACTGTCAAAACCGAAACACAGCAAGCTGCAGAAGAGATCTGCACAGAATACATTTGCAACTTGTCACGCTCTATCCATCCTTGTTACCTTTCTGAGCTGCACTGAGTTACTAAACAAATAAAAAATGACAGTAAATGTGACTAAATGGGCAGAGATTAAATGTAAGAACAATGTAAGTAAATCAAACACATATGATGTGAGGGAAATATGAGCTAAGGAAAAAAATCCATTTAGCACACTCAGGGCCCCAGCCATAATGACTTCTTCAGTGGGAGGAGATTTCAGCAGGAGATAGACTGAAAAATTCAGGTCAAAATCTGCTTTCAGTTAATATCAGGATAAAGAAAATTATCTCTGTTGAAGTCCAAGAGATTATCCTGGATTTACATTGAAGAAACAAAGCAGAATTTGGCCAAAGAGGTGGCATAACTGAATTACCAAAGAAGTGGTCTCATAACATTGTCTCACAGGCAAAGATAACAAACATTCAAAGGATGGCTATGTATTTTCCTTCTTTCGACTCTAAATGGTGATTGTCTTTGAGCTGCCATTTGTACTTTTAACAGCACGTCATCCCTAGTTTAAAAGATCTTGTCTGATTACTGTAAAAAATACATTACATTAAGCCAAAAACTAAGTCAAGTCAAACCACTTTTAAGAGAAAAATGAAACATAAAATACGAAGTGAGACTGAGCAAATTAAACACGGGTAAATGCTGAGAAGAGGCTGTGGTGTTAAATAATAACCACACAGCTGTGCCCACAGAAGCAGGGGACTCCAATGGGTGACTACAGGGAATCAGGTGGCAACAGGGAGTACAACTGCAGAACAGGGCTCTCTTCGCATCCTGAGGTCTCAGAGACACCCCACCAATAGAGCTGGACTTCCAGGTATTTCACCCACTACCAAAGAGCACATTGCCCTGGAAATGATGCATTAAAGCCTTATCCTGCAAACACTATCTGCAGCCATGGGGCTGCCTTTGATGGTGAGGCTGAACAGAGAGGGTCACGCTATGTTCTGGAGTGGGTCCCAGCAAAACAGGCAACTTGGGATCACCTTACCACATTGAGTTCACTGAGTTGGATGTGACTGATTCCAGCCATGGCCAGCAGGACACTCAGCAGTGTAAATTATTAAAATGTTTCTGCACGTAATTAAAAAGTGAAATGCTGTGACAGAGTGAAAATGTCTTCCCCTTGGTCACAAGCAATAGGTTTGAACATTTAACCACCACATGTGACCATTACACCACCTAAGCTGACCTTCTACACAGTGGCGAGTATAGTATGGAGTTAAATGACTTGTGCTTGGCAGGAGACTGGCTCCAGAAAGTGTCTGTGCCAGTCTTGATTTGAAAGTCTGAACTATTCACTTGCCTTAATGTGTAATCATTTTCATTGCTAATAAAAATGCATGCCTTTCTCTTTGTCTCTTAATTTTCAGCTTGTCTGGCTTGCATTTCCCTCCCTTGGGTTTTAGGAGACTTTCTCTGCTAGCTTGAGCAGCCTTTTAAGGTCCAGTATTAAATATACATCACACTCTTTTTGTTCTTCTTGGTGAGGCAAAGAGATGGAAGAGCCTCCTAGGAAAACATTTTCTCCAGCTCACCAGTTATTTTCATGGCTCTTCTTTGGAAAATTTTTCAACAATGTTTTAAAAGAAGTTGTTTACCATTGTTTTTCCCAACTGGAAGCCACGTTCTCGTTTCACTCTTTACAAGGCTGTGATAAAAACCACAAGATCAGCTCCCTATGTCTCTGCATGTCCAAAGATCACACTAGTCCTTTTAAGGCTGAGTTTCCTAAAGAGCATGAAGATTACATAGTTATGTGGTATGCACGAGTGTGTCTCCGTCTTGAACACTTCAACCAATTACAGTATCACAAGTGCTGCGAGTATCAGATGAGTTCCCATATGCCTCATGAGAATGGTAGAGCAGAGGAGAGATCTGTCCTTATGGAGTGCTGCAACACAGACTCACTGCTTGATGGACAGTAAGAGACACAGCAGAGACAATGCCACCATCACTGCTCACTGAAGTACCAACACTAGAAGATCCCATTGTGTTGCATGCCCGCTTACATCATCTGCTGAGTCTGCTTTCTAGGATACTGTTCAAAATTTTGCTAGCAGTACACACATGGAACAGTCCTGATGAAATGTGTTATGCCAGGACTCTGAGAAGAGAATAAGGATCCTCAAGATGCCAAGTAACCAGGTAAGGTAATATTATAAACATATTTATAGTTGCATAAGAAAAAAGCAGCTGCAGAAAAGACTCAGCTTGTGATGTGACATGAGGTGCCGCAGAAAGACATTTTGCAAGTTTCTTCATTTCTTCTCCCACCATTTCTCTTGCAATTGAGAAGATTCAACTATTTCTAAGATCTTGCTAGAAAAGACGGGTATAAACGGCTGAGTGATCATTCAGATAGTATACCAAATTTGTACACCGTTTGTCATTCACATAAAAGGAGGGGTGGAATTTCAGATAGAATCCCATAGCAGGAGGATACAAAATCACTACGAAGAGCAGACAGCAAGTCTAGCCTGATGGCCACCAGGTTCTGCAGTAGCAGTATCTCTACAGTTCTGCATGCTATTGCCAGTGTAGAAATTTGGGCACATTGAGATATCTACTTTCTAACATGGCAATAAAAGCCAATAACGACCACTTTTTCTTTCTTTTTTTTAACCTTTTAACCTGTCAGTGTTGCCTGGATGTAGAAATAGGCCATCTCAGTTCTGAAAGTCTATGTCTGATTATTTGATGTATTTATCCCCCACAACATTCATTACTTATTATTCTCTATGTATTTTTGTGTAGCGCTATTGGTGTTTAACTTTTACCATACAGCAGCAACAAATTCTTCTGCAAGTGCCCCGCTGCTGCAGGCGCAAACAAGCAAGCAGCAAGTTTTCATATACATAGTCTACAGCTGAGATTCAACTCACACCTCTTCAGCAGAAAGAAAATAAGCTGACAGAAAACTTGCTCCTCAGGTACTCTGCTCTAAATGAAAGGCGCTGGTAGAGGCTTTAGAAAACTGACTATGGAGCATCTACAGAAGAACTAGGTCAGAAAGGCACTTGGGCCTTGTCATATTACCTGCACAAATACGGCCTCTGAATCGCTTTGAATTTTGTTTGGTTTCTTTGGAAAAGAACAGTTTAATTCAACAGTTGTAAACCAGTTATTCCTGAGTGGCCATCAGTGATTTGCCAGATTTTTCACAGGCATCAGCCCCCAAGTGGGCCTTGAGGAGACATTTAATAGGCAAGCTGAATAGGCAGTGGTCTTCCTGGAAGAACTGGAGACATTTATGAAAGGGAAACCTACAAGCACTCACAGGAATGCAGTAATTCCCAGGGATTTCCTAGCTGTCAAGAGCTACATCTGATGATAAATCCAATAAATCTGTGACTGCTGCAGCTTAACCTTTCAGTTGCTTCGTTTACAACTTAAATCCTCATAGGATCTATACTTTAAACCCCAGAGTTTCTGTTGTCTGGGCTGAGAATTAGGCTTCCCTTTGTGACACAGTGCTGCAGCCCCCCAGAGGGTGCCCAGTCCGCCCCCCACCCCACCCCAGCGGCAGGGGCACACAGCTCTCGCCCACTGCAAACTCATTTTGCTGTAGCTGGGGTGGCTTTTCTCAGGCTGAAACTCAAGTGTTTGCTGTCTTTTGGGGTTAATATTTGATTTCTGGTGAGGTGTTTCGTCTTCCTGTTTTCTTACGGTAATTGATTTTTTTCAGTTGGACAAGATCCTCCCAGTTTGGCTACAGATAGGCATATTGCCACACGTGATTAGATCCTTACAGTCAAATAAGAACCACTTAATAAATTATAATAACAATGCTATCATTGTTTTAAATGCATGAGCCTTATAAGCTAAATTTACCCTTCAGGAAAACAAGAATAATGAAGTTGAGTTTTTCCAGGCATGAATTTGCCCTTGCATACAAAAACTAAGGTACACAAGGCCCTAAAGCCTTAGCAACCTGCCACTGGTTTTATTTCAATGAGGGGTATACATTC